AATTGTGTGAATACATCTCATACTACTGATTTACTGGTAGTCATGAAAACAATACTTAATTCGAAAAATAATTGTTTCCATTCAGCCACATTGAAGATCCATTTATGATCTTATCTTGCGTTTGCCCAATCACTTTCGCCATCTTTGTCCCATTTTAAGCCGGACGCTACCCTCCAAGGCGGATAGGCAGCTGTGTCGTGTGAAATGTATCTATTCTGCCTACAGTTTCCTTGTGCCAACTAAAGGGTTACAGGGTGAAAGGTGACTGGCCTGGTGATTGTGGCGAATCCGAATAGATACTCGTCCCCTGGCTGTCACCATTCATGCGCTGGCCCAGTATTGGCCCGGGAAGCGGAGGCAGATGCCGCTTACGGATCCAGGGATGATGAAACGCCTCGGCCGGAGTCATTCGCAGCTCCGGTTGCCAGTGAAGACAGGCGCGTATAAAGTCAATCAGATCGGGATCGAGAATGGCGGCAGACGACGATGATCCTGGCAACTTGGCGTTCGGTTCAAAGTCAAGACTGCCGTTGGCCTCCGCCATCTCATCAACACTGCCCTTCGACGCCAGTCGGGCGCCATGCAGTGAAGAGTGTACAGGTGAGGTGAGGGCAGCAACCAGATCCAGGCTGCCAGGACTGCCACGTTTGTTGCCGGGAGGCCGAGAGCGTGGCTTGACCTGAGTCTGCGAACGATGCAGTCGGCCGGCACCACCGACACTGGGTCCTCCGGAACGATGCACCGAGTTGGGTGCGTCGAGCATGAGGTCCAGTGGTCCGGTGGCCGTGGACGACTGGTCGAGCAGGTAACGGGGCTGGCCGGTTGAGGTGAAGAAATGCCGCGCTCGAGGCGAGTTGTGGAGCAGATTGGCCGGTGGCACGCCGAGCACCTCCATGATACAGCTCAGTTGATCCACTTCATTCTCACCGGGGAAGAGGGGAGTACCTGACGAAGAAGCCGAAAGTAGGCAGAGTGAAGAGTAGGCATTTGGGGCTCTGTTACTATCACTCTTTCATAGTCGCCATTGCCCGGAAAAGTGTGAATTTGCCTTCAATGGAAACAGGAAACTATACTCATTTCGTGTGAAAGTGAACGAGGGTTGACTTCACCAGAAGACGACGACTGAGTCGTGTTGGAATGTGGAAAAACTGTGTTTTGAAGAATAGCTCAAAACATTTATGTTAAGGTGGCTTCCGTTTCGTTTCGAAATGTGAATGGAAGGGATTCGTAATTTGGCCTCATCGGAAGGTGTAGGTGGATGGGTGCATGTATTCGTGTCCTGCTCTGACGATATCCGTCACATGACGGACGAAAGCTCAGCGAGGATTCATCAGGATCGCGAGTTGGTACGACAAATATACAATCACAGCTCCAAGACAGTGCCCCGACTGCTTTCAATGGGGCCAACTTACGAGAATCCCTTCCACTCGCATCTTGAAACGAAATAAAAGCTACTCCAACATGAGTCCCGTTGTACTGCAGCCGTTTAGCTTTAACGCCAAGTTCAGGTTGACACGGTCCACGAGACATGCTGCCTCGTTTAGGATGAAACTGAGCTGAGCTGTCGTCCATCATCTGGACTGGAGCTCATTCTTGTAAAAGTATCAAACTCAATTCTTATATATACCCAAACTGTAGATGGATACAGAACGGTTTGGCTAGTTATCATGCCTTTTGGCCCTGCTGCTGTATGTG